TTAACATGAAAATACTTAACATTTACTGAGGACTTTTGATTTCTCCGGCACCGCATTAAGCATTCTACATGTATTACCTCACTTAATTCTCAGTATAACTGTGAAGTAGATATGCTCACCATTTATAGGTGAGAAATAACTGAGGCACAAAAAGACCCAGATCACCAGACTGGAAAGTGATGGAGTCTTAACAACTAAGCTACCTTAGTTGCTAAGAAGGGGGTCTAGGCAACAAGTCTGGAGGGTGCTTCTCCCACAGTGCCACCCCAGACTCCTTAGGAGAGACAGAAAGGGAGAAGACAGAGATGCAGGGAAGCTCATTTGAAGACAAGGCAGAGACTGGAGTGATGCAGCCACCAGCCGCAGAATACCAGGAGCCACTAGAAGGTGGAAGGTAAAAGGAAGGATTGTCTTCTAGAGCCGTGGGGGGTTCTGGCCCAGTGGATGCCTTAGTTTTGGATTTCTAGCCTCCAGAACTATGAAAGAGGAGGTTTCTATTGTAAGCCACCAAGTTGATGGCCTTTTGTTATGTAGTCCTAGGTGTGGTGCAGTAGGATCAGCAATGGACTGCGAACCACAAGGTCAGCAGTTCAAATCCACCAGCTGCTCCTAGGAAACCCTACACAGGGTTGCTATGAGTTGGAACCAACTCGACAGCACTTAACAACAACAGCTGAAGCCAGGAGTCCTGGTATGGCACTGGAGGATAAGCACTGGACTGCTAACTGTAAGGTCAGCAGTTCAAACTCACCAGCTGTTCCTCAGAAACTCTATACAGGGACACTGAGTTGGAATCGACTCGATGGTACTTAACAAGGCCACTAATGCAAGTGCCACAAGATCTGTTTCTGATTGTTGGTGCTTTAACGTCATTTTAATAATCTATACCCACACAGAGTCCAGGTGGTGCAAAGAGTTAAGGGTGCTTGGCCATAAACCAAAAGGTTGGTGGTTTGAATCCACCGAGGGGTCCCTCAGAAGAAAGGTCTGGCAATACTTCTGAAAACTCAGGCAATGAAAATCCTATGGAACACGATTCCTCTCTGATACACGTGGGGTCACCCCCATACACTGATTATGATCAATGTAGATTTAAAAAAAAAAAGACATTTTTAAGAGAAATTATTAAAATCCACTCTACACTTACAACTCATCCTGGCCAGTGGTACCTTCTATTCTGGTGTTCCATGATCTTTCTATTTAGTGTTAAGACAACTCTGAGAGGCAGGTAAAACAGACGAACACCTGTTAGCCATGTTGTTTGGGCCTCCCATCTCATGATCAGAGGAAAGCCCCCACATCAGTGAAGGCCCAGCACCTAAAGCAGATGATCCCTCCCGCCCCCATGACCCTTGTGTTTAGACACAAGTGGTAGACACATCTTTGTGAAGGTCACTGTGACCCTTCAACCAACTCCTGGAACTCTGCTAGCTAGACAGTAAGAGGGCAAGTCTGGCTTCCCATCCCACTCGGCGTCTCCACAAACTAAGGGCTGCACCTAGTCTTCAAAGAGCTACTCTGCGGCTGTGTTTTCCTGTGAAAGTGTCCTGTGATCTGGGGGTTGGCAGTCTTCACAGCAGCAAGCCGAGTAGGCTGGTTAAACATAAGTTCCTTCTCATTTTCTGCAGCGCAAGCTCATCTTACAAGAGACCCTTCTGGATTTTTTCCTGGTTTCCAAGGCTAAGCCAGCACACATAGGACACGTGTCTCTGAACCATGTGATTAAAATGCTCAGAGTGGAAAATACTTGAAAACTGCTTCAACAGAGATGGCAGTTCCTTTCTTTCCACAAACACTCAGTCTCCACTTGCTAACTCCTGCTTCCCTTGCTGAAGCCCAGTCTAGCCCCATCGCTGCACCTTTCTAAAGTGCGTGCCTGTCGTGGGAACGAGCCTTCTAGATCTGCCCTCAGCCTCAGTCCCTTTTCTTCTCAGTAACAAAATGGCAACTGAGTGTCAAATGCTAGTTCACAGACAGCCCCTGTCCCCAAAATGGGGAGAGGGCCGCTGTTCCTGGGCACGTCTCTCTTCAGCGGTTAGGCTCTACAGGCTCTCTGGAGCAAGAGGCCGAGCCCTGAGCTCAAGGAAATGAAGAAGGATGACAAGGGCCCATCCACTGCCACACTCCTACAGGGGAGCACTTCATCGGTTTCTGTTACAGCAGCCAAGCCTGAGCCCAGCTGACAAGACAGTGCCCAGCACTCTTGCTTAGTGGTGGCTCTCCTCTGCTTTCCTCCTACCTTCTGGGATTCCATGTCAGCAGTCCTCAGTTTATCACCCTCGACTCCTAGCTGTCTTCAGCTCTCCTTGGAAGCATTATTCAGACACACAGGGCATGGACACTATCTCTTACGGACCTTTCTCCTGCTCTCCTGGGGTCTGTAGCTCAATGCCCAGTGTACCGCTCCAGGAGAATCACCCCCAGGCCCCGTGGAATTCTATCATCATCCACCCCACCCCCACCTTCCGCTCCTCTTCCCGTCTATCATCCAAAAGTCCAACTTTTTGTTCAGTTACCCAAATCTGAGTTTCCGAGATCCCCTGTTTTCATGCTGTCATCACCCCACAAACCTTACATGGTCACCAGTTCTCATCGTCTTTGTTCAAGTCCTTTGTGATGGTTTTCTGCAGCCTCCCATAGGTGCTCCCCCCAACCCTTACCAAGGCTGCCAGTGATGGTCCTAAAAACATGGGCTGTGATATACCATTCTGCTCCAAATCTTTCCACGGTTCCTCATACCTTTCCACACCAATGGGCTCACCCCACTGTAGACAGCTCTGTGTGTCTGGCCTCGTCCACCACCACTGCCCTCAGCCCGTTCTCCCGTCCAGTCAGAGTAAAAGGGGCCTGTGCTTCGTTAGCGCCTCTTCTCAGATTATACCCTCGGCCAAAATCAGTGATCTACTTCCAACAAGTCACCTCAGCTTATCATGCTGAACTCAATTTAAGCCTCCTCACCTCATCGAAGACAGTGAAACCATTTCCCCACCCAGACGCGCCATGGAATAAAGCCCCCAAGATCATCCTCTAAACAGCAGCCATCAAAGACCCAGAGAGCATGGCTCCATCTGACATACCAGGGGCCACATGCATTTGAACGGATCCCATGACACCTGGTAAAATAGACCCTGTGGTCCTGGGCATCCCACACGCCCCCAGTCTACACCCAACTGCTCCTTGTGTGGGAATCTGCTGCAAGAGGATGTCCCTGTCAGACAAGCTGCTCACCTGCCCCTCCCAGGACCAGGCTCTTCTCAACACTCAGCCAAAGCCTCCCACAGGCAGGACCTTCCATTTCTACTCAAGAAATACAAGACGGAAAAAAGCCCAAATGATTTTATTCCATTTTCAATGGCATTGTCTAGTTTCTCACCATTTCTCAAATCTAGTCAGAGAGGCTGTACGCTGGGATTTGTTTTGAATCCAATCTGCTCATGCACAGGACGGACACTCCAGAAACTCTCTGTAAATGTTCTAGCTGCCTTCTAGAGCACCACAATATAAGGACATTAGAATACAAATGCAAACACACATCATCCCAGAAATAAAAAGCAGTCATTTGGGGTCAAAAATCCTATCAAGCTCTCAGTTTTAGTAACTCAAAGAAAACAAGTCTTCCAGTCGATCCTGTCAAGCTTTAAGGTGCATCCACAGCACCTAGGGGGCGAGCTCCGTGATGCCACTGCCTTTCTGGTCTTCTCCGAGTCCAGACCCCTAAACTAATGACTAGAGAGGAGAACACCTGAGTGTATCTGAAAAACCAAATCTCATGAAATAAATAAAAGTTTCCCTAATGAAGCAAAAAAGTGCAGGATATGAAGCTATAGACAGATTATGATCACCAGCACACAAAATAAACGTTACAAGAAAATACAACAAAATGCTAGCAGTGGTTGTGTTAGGTTTTTTCCCCCTCTAGTCTTTATTACGTGGCTATATGACGTTTTAAAGCTTTTGTTTAAAGAAAAGCTACACTAGACATAAGGGGCTAGCAACAGCCACCAAAGGACTGTGACAAGGGGCTCCTAAACATCAACTGTCCCTTGTTCAGATTGGGCCACAATTCTGCAGGCAAGCCCCTCACAATCTATTCCACAATGGGGCGACACCCCTCTGCCTGAGCATCCTTGGCCAAGTGCTTTAAGGCTCTCATCAAGCACAGCAAATTTTTCCTATATGTGAGACAGGAGCAAATGGGAGAGGTCAGACGTATAGGAAAAACACTGAAAACCAAAACCCTGAGCTGAAAACTGTGCTCTGTACGTTAATCCTCACAGAAGAGTGTCTCCAGGACTTAGCTGCAGGGCAGCACCAACAGCTGTGGAGCACAGGGGTGGGGGTGGGGGTTTTACTGTATTGTTTCAGATCATCCAGATGAACACGCTCTGAAGAACATAGTTTTAACATAAAGAAAAGCCCCCTGATCAATAATCTGGCTAGTTAGTTGTGACACATACTCTGTGCACTAGTGAACTCACTGTACTCTGGTAAGGAAACAGACCACCTAAAGGACAGGGACATGGACTTCAGTTTGATTTTTAGACAGTGTAAAACTCATTCTAAAAAGGTGTAAAGAATCTTGTGCTAACGTTTACATTTCTTTTTTAATTAATATTTTTTAAATGACAGCAATCGACGAGAATAAAAAGGAAATTAGAATCGGAGGACAAATTCCAGAAGATTTATAACTGAAGAATCAAATCAAATCCCTAGGCACATCAGTCAATATTCAGAAACAAAGAAAATGCCATGGTAAAGCCAGAACTGACCTACTCCCTGCAGGCTCAGGCTGTAATGTTGCATCTTTAGTTAACAGACATGCATCCATCCATCTGCTTTTGGCATCATTTGGCATTTGCCTTTTTCTATTTCCATTGCTGGCAGACCAGCGTTTTCCTCTCCATGTCCCCACCCTCTCCTTACTGACGCCCAGACTTTCCTGGCCCCCTGCCAGGAGATTCTTTGGGCAGTGTGCCCCTCAGACACTTGCATCGACTTACTCAGAAGTGCTGTTGCTGCTGTGGCTCAGAGGGTCAGCAGGCCGGCTGGAGTCCAGCACGTGGATGCCCAGGGAGTCGATCGCTCGCATTAAAATCATTACCATCGCCTCCACTGGCAGCTTCTCGAGAACAATCACCCGGCAGCGGCTCAGCAGAGCAGCGTTGACCTGAAAGGAAGGGTTTTCTGTGGTGGCTCCAATCAGAGTGATCGTCCCACATTCCACGTGAGGAAGAAAAGTATCCTGGTCATGGGAGGAAAACAGAAGAAATTGATTCCAGTTAAAGACAACCTTCAAAGCCCTAGGTAAGCTGTCAGTCCATTCCTTTACACCTTGCTGAATCTGAGGCAACATTTGGGAGGTATAACCTCTTGCTTTCTAAGTCTAAACATGTTGTCTATTTGGTTCATTGCTGGAAGGGTAATAGTGCTGACAACGATTTTACGTTGATTTCAACAAACTGGGTTCTTTCTGTAGAAAAGTATCTTCTCTTTGAGGAAATACAAAAACATGAATTCCCATATCTAGAACCATTTTCCAGTGCAAGTCTTCCACCACTGTTACTCTTTCTAACAAACTTCCACTCTGATGCTGTCTCACAAGTCAGTGGCCCAGCAGTCAGAATGCTAACAAGGTCTGTTTACTCAGAGAGTCAACTCAGAAAAAATAATTATATTAAGGTTATGTGAACTATTTCTATGATCATAAAATTATAACAAATATGTCAAACAGAAAACATAACTGAAAAAAAAATTTTAATGTCTATATAGGAAGAATCCAAGAGCAATTTTGTTAATAAAATTCTGCCCTTTTACTGTCACTTCAGAAAGTCAGATAAATTGGATCTGTGATATTCACCTTGGCAAGAATCTAGAATACAGAAAATACAGACTAAAAACAAAAAGGAACACTTTACAGGGGAGAAAGAACATATACTGAAATAATGATCTTAAAATCAAGTGAAACTATTCACTATGACTACAAATCCAGATGAGTAAGTTCTAAAAACTGGAAGAAGTCCTGCTGGTAAGCATTTAACTGCTAATCCTAAGGTTGGGGACAGAAACCCACCCTGTGGCTCTAGAGGGAAAAAAGATCTGGTGATTTGCTTCTGTGAAGATTACAGCCTAGAAACCCATATGGGGCACTTCCACTGGGTCATACTGGGTGGGTAGCAGAACCCACTTGGCTATACCCAGCAACTGGAAACTTAACCCAAACACCAACAATTTCATTGAACAGATAGAGAATGATTTTTTTAAAAATACACATGAAAAAAAAAAAGGAGAGAAAATAGGCCTGGGGTAGACGGGTTGACAAGGCTCGGTTTCTTTGCAGATAACAATGTAACGTTGAGTTAATAATGATACCAAGCGCTCCTGGTACATGCACATGGCTTTGTGCTTTTTAAAGCAATTTCATATCTGTTTGATGCTCACAATGTCCTAAATTAGAAAATTAATATACCTGCTGAGATTTATTGAACCGATGAATCTCATCAATAAAAAGGATAGTTTTCCTTTTGAAAAAGCTCTTTTCATTCTGAGCTTGTTTTATGACGTCTCGCACATCATTGGTCTTGGCGTTCGTTGCAGACAGTGTCACAAACCTGACGCTGTGTTTCTTGCTGTTGTTTGCGATGATGTGAGCCAGAGTGGTCTAGAATAGATGAAAACATAGCTCAGGAAGCCGACCCGACACTGAGACAGGCGCACCCACAAGGACTAAGTATAAGGAGATCCATCCAGCACATTTAAACAGTAGTTTGAAATCTGGAAAATGTTTACCGGCAGAGATAAAATCTCACCATGCAGTTTTAAAAATAAAAAATAAGTACATTCATTACCAGTGAAACAGGAAAGTAGCTAACCCTTGTTAATCCTGACCTTTTCTGTTTTGTATTTAAGCCCCTTTGATTCCTTTTCTTGGGACTCTAAGATCTTTGGAATCCCAGTAAAAAGAGCAGCTGTCCTGATTTAGCACTCTGAACGACAGCTGTACTCTCTAACCAAAGAGAAATTCTCCTCCCTGCACCCAAAAAAGCACGCCTGCTGAGGGAAACTCAGTGTTAAACTGGGCTGCACACAGCCAACACAGGCACTGGAAGTGCACCAGTGTAACTTCACCACCCCTACCCGCCTCCAAGAGAGGAGCATCTGAGCCCTAAAGTCCAAAGACCAATGACAGACAGCTCACATGTAAGGGAGTGCAATGCCAATTCTGAATGTCTGCTCTATCACAGCACTTTGCACATGCAATGAGATACAAGCAAACCCACTGGGGTGCTTGATAAGCATGCACATGCCACTGTAAATCAGATGACTGCAGTCAGTAGTAAGAACAGAAACTCAGAAAGAGAAGGCTGTCTCATGAGAGGGATCAATCTGCTCTTGGAAGGAAAGGTGGCACTTGGTTTTTCTTTGGAATCAGACTACAACTGGACTTTAGCCTGATCATCAATGACAACACTGAGCAGCCAGGCCCCCTCAGTCTCTTGCCTGGCATTTTCTCTGCTCTCACACTCCACATCTCCTGAGAACTTTTCTTCTTGAAATCTGGGGCCACTAACAAGTTAACTGTCCATTCTCATGATCGTATGGATAGAATTCTCGGGTAAGTAAGAAGAATGTCTCTGCCAGATCCCCTAAAAGAGATACAAGCTAAATCAGCAAAGATTTTGCTGTTGTTTTCAGTGCTGGGGAATCGGTCTTGACTCATAGTAACCCTGGACTGGATTTTCCAGGAGTGGCTGGTGAGTATGAACCACTAACCTTGAGGTAACAGTACAATGATTATCCTACAGTGCCACACCAGGATCTCAAATCCACAGGGGTGGGTGACAGTAACTCCACTACCATCAGAAATAGTGACCTGGGATAGATCCAATTTATGCTCAACCAAAGGGAAAGCATGAGTGTGTAAGAGAGCAACAGACATTTCAAAAAATTGGAGTAAAGCGTATTTATGGGTAAGTTGTAGATGAAGCTGGGGGCAAAAAAGGAAGGAAAAAAAAAGTCACAAAATACCTTGTGTGCTAAGGAATCGGAATCTCAAAGCTAAGAATGCCTTTGAACTCTGACCCTGTATGCATTTTGCCTTTTACTCATGGGTGCTCATTCTGCCTCCTCTTCCTACAGATTTAAAACAAAACAAAACAAAAAGTCACATATTTGAGAACCTTCTCTTTAAACTAGAATCGGCTGGTTTCTCCTGCCAATGAGATGCTATGCCCACAGTAGCGTAGTGCTTCTCGGGACCTTCGGATCCCTGCAAGTCGTATGACTCTAAGCCTCCCTCATAGGATTTCCAGGGTTTGTAAACCTTTGTGGTAAATCGGTCTCCCATGGGGCGGCTGGTAAGCTCGAACCGCCAAACTTGTGGGTTTGCAGTCCAGCTCTGGACTTCTGCTGTTTTCTGTAACGTCAAGGCATTTTAGGAAAATGTATGGAAATGCTAGCTGAACATGACTCCAACGGGGTAATGTTTCAGTGGAGACCTATCAAATATATTCTCAAATGTAAAAATAAAAATAGATGAGGTTTTTAAAATTCAAACCTACAACCAAAAGGAAGCGGAGAAAGCAAAGCACAGAAATAACATCTTAAATCAGTATTTCTCTTCAAGAAGAACCCACCTATGGACCAACGTAATACACAAATGCCAGTTTGCACCCTTTGCTCAGAGATACAGCCAATCTAAGCATCACTCTGTGTCTAGGAGCGTCTGCATCTTAAAGATGACTACAGACACCAGGAGCACAAGCAGATCTGTGCTGGAAGAAGTGCAGCCGAGTGCTCCCTGACGCCCAGCATGGCCAGGCTTGGTCTCTCACACTTGGGACACGTTAGGAGCGAGCAGTCCCTGAAGAAGGACTGCATGCTACATAAAGTGGAGAGTCGGAGATAAAGGGGAAGACCCCCACGAGGTGGATCGGCGCGGTGGCGATAGCGACGGTGAAGCCGGGGCCAGGCCGGGTTGGTTTGGTTCTGCTGCGCACGGGGTCCCTCCAACAGCGACGACAAGGGCATGGGGTCTGGGCTGGCGCCGGGCGCACTCACCTTGCCGCAGCCCGGGGGGCCCCAGAGGATGAGCGAGGGGACCTCGCTGGTATCCAGCAGAGTCCTCAGCAAGCTCTCCGGGCCCAGCGCCCGGCTCTGCCCGAAGTAGTCCTGCAGCGTATCTGGGCGCATCTTCTCGGCCAGCGGCTTGCCCTCCAGCATCTGCCGGACCTCGTCGGCCGCAGGTGCGCGCGGCTGCGCACGACCCCCGAAGGCGGCGGCGGCCCAGGGGCCCGGCTCGTCCTCGCCGTCCGCATCCGCGTCGCCGTCACCGGCCGCCTCCTCCTCCTCCGGCGCCTCCGCCTCGTCCCAGCTCCGCGGAGACGCGCTGCCCGCCGCGGCGGCCGAGGAGGCGGCTGGCCTGTCTCCCGTGCCCTGCCCGGCCGGGCTGCCAACGCGGGCCCCGGGAAAGTCGGGGATGAGGCGGGCGCCACTGGGCGTCGGCGGAGCGTCGTAGCTCTCGCGACTCTCCGTCTCGCCGCCGTCGTCTGCCTCGTCACCCTCACCCTCGCTGCTCTCGGCCGCCGTCGGGGTAGCGGGCTGCTTGAGCGCCGAACTCTCGGACAGGCGGCGCCGCTTAGAGCGTGGAGACACGGGCCCCTTGGGTGGTTCCCCGGCGCCGTGCGGCCCAGGCTCGGGCTCGGCGTGGCCGGCGGGGTGCAGCAGTAGGCAGCGGTCCAGGTGCGAGTTGATGTGGGCGGCGGGCATCGTCTGCTGGCACACGGGGCACTGCACCCGATGCAGCTGCGCCAGGAAGGGGTCGTCGTCCGGGCCGCTCACCTCCATGGCCGCCGTGGCACCTGGCCCGGCGGGCAGCGGGCCTCACGCAGCCTTCCGTTTAGGTCCCGCACGGCACGTCCCTCGGGGAAGCAGCGGCTCGAGCGCGGGCCGGGGGAGGGCGCGTCTCATGCCGCACGTCCGGAGCGACCGCGTCGGTCCGCCCTGGGCCCCTGCCGGAGGCGCCTCGAGCGGCACTCCGGGAAGTGTAGTCCTGGGCGGCTGGCCTGAGGCCGCCGTGAAGTCCACTTCCTGCTCGCGCACGTCCTCTTCCGTCTCCGCGCAGGCCGCTTCCGACTACTCATATGCCAATTTACGGCTCATGCAGCCCACTTCCGGCTGACGTAGTCCTCTTCCGGCTCGCGGGCTTTCTTTATGCCAGTCCGGAGGGTGTCGGATTGTGCGGTTCGGAAGGCCGTCCCCGGCGCCAACTGTCTGGCGGGGAGCCCGGGAGTCGCTCCGGTCCTGTTAGGCCCGCGATGGCCGAGGAAACGTCACTAAAAGCGCGCCCGTTGGTTCCGCGCGCGGTAGGAGAAAGGCTGTCTGCGCACGCGGAGTCGCACAGGGAACTGGAAGAAACACTCTCGTACGCAAAGGACTTGACCAAAAGAAAGAAGAAAACGAAACAGGTGGAAAGAACGGTCCACTAAGTAGCGATCCAAGAAATGCAAATATAGACATGTGCTTTTGTTTTTGTTTTTTTTAGTTTGCCTTTAGATTATTTTGGCCTCTTAATCTTTTATGTAATTGCAAAATGTTGGAAGCGGTCAAATTCACTTAGAATCCCATAGGGTGTATGTTCTCCATGACTTCACAATATTATGCAACCATTTGGTGTAAATAGATGTAAAGTGACAGAAAATGTCCACCTATAGTGGTAAAAGAATAAATAAATAAATAAATAAACATAAAATATAATCTATGGCTAGATGACACTTAACAACATCTGTGAATATAAAATTAGCAATCACGTTCTGTAATACCTTCAGAAATGCCAAGAATACACTTTTATGCAGGAGGAAAATGAACAGAGGAAGAATGAAGATTTTTCAGCAATTTAACAAAACTGGGATTTTTGTTTCATCACTATGTAAGAAAATTACATTGAAAGCTATCCAAAAGCAAATGTCTAAAGGTTTTATGAGCGTTTTCATATCCGATGACTTTACAAAAGGAGTAATGCTTCTCAAAAAGCTAAAATGAGATCAAAGAAAGCACTAAGAAAGGGTGCCCAGGTGCAGGACATACTTTCTGGTACAGTATATCAGGTGTGTGTTTCAACACTAAACAAAAGGGAGCAAAAGACAGCCGGGTCCTGCACCCTCCTCACAGTTGCTACATTTGAGCCCATTGTTGTTGCCACTATGTCAGTCCTTCCTACTGGGGGTCATCCTCTCCACTTTCTCAAGCATGATGTCCTGCAGGGACAAGTCCTATGTGACAACCTGTCCAAAATACCAGAGACAAAGTCTCTCCACTCTGGATCCTAGGCAGCATACTGGCCGTACATCTTCCAAGACGAATTTATTTATTCTTCTCATAGTTTCATGGGATGTTCAATATTCTTCAACAACACCATGGTTCAAATGCATCCATTTTTTTCTGGTCTTATTGCCCAACTTTCACATGCTTATGTGGCAAAGGAAAATACCATGGTTTAGGTTAGGTGCAGCTTAGTTCTCAAACTGATTTCTTTGTTTTTGAATTCTTTGAATATGTCTTTCCAGCAGATTTGCCTAAGGCAATACTCCATTTGATTTCTTGACTGCTGCTTCCATGACTGTTTATTGGGAATTCAAGCAAAATGAAGTCTTTGACAACTTCAATGTGTTCTCCTTTTGTTGTTGTTAAGTTCTATGGAGTCGGTTCTGACTCATAGCAACCCTGTAGAGGGTTTCCAAGGAATGGCTGGTGAACTTGAACTGCCAACCTTGCCATTCAAACCAACTTTGCCGTCCAGCGCACTGGCCCAGACTGTCACACCAGGACTCTGTCTCCCATTAGCATGGTGTTTTTTTATGGTCCAGTTGTGAGGACTTTGTCTTCATTACATAGAGGTGTAACCCCTACTGAAGGTTATAGTCTTTGATCATCAATATTTCAAGTCCTCTTTCCTTTCCAGTAAGCTAGGATAATGTCAGCTTCATATTACGTTAATGTGTCTTCTTCCAATCCTAATTCCATGTTCATCTTCATGTAATCCAGCTTCTTGGATTATTTACTCAGCGTACAGATTGAATTAGTATGGTTTAAGGACGCAACCCTGGCGCACACCTTTCCTAATCTTAAACCATTCAGTATCCCCTTGATCTGTTCAAACAATTGCCTCTTGGTCTATGTACAGGTTCTTCATGTATACAATGAAATGTTCTAGAATATATCCATTCTTCAAAATGTCCACAGTTTGTTATGATCCACACAGTCCAATGCTTTTGCAAAGTCAATAAAACACAAGTAAATACCTTTCTGGCAATGTGCTTTTCAGCTATGCGCCATCTGACCTCAGCAGTGATTTCTCACATTCCATGTCCTCATCTGAACACAGCTTGAATCCCTGTCAATGTACTGTTGCAACCATTTTTAACTTATCTTCAGCAAAATTTTACTTTCATGTGATAATGAAATTGTTTGATGATTTCTGCATTCTAATGGGCCACCTTTCTTTGGAAGGGGCACATACCTGCATCTGTTCCAATCTGTTGGCCAGGTAGCTGTCTTCCAGATTTCTTGTCATAGACCAGTGAACAACACCAGTGCTGTATCAGTTTGTTGAAACAGTTCAATTTGTATTCCATTAATTCTTGGAGCCTTGCTTTTCACCAATTCAGTGCAATTTAGACCTTCTCCCTCAATACAATATCAGACCTCTTAAAATGGTTGAGCATTAGCCAATTCTGTTTGGTGCCGTGACTGTATTCATTCCATTTTCTTTTCATGTTTCTAATGTCATTCAGTATTTTGCCCATAGAATCCTTCAGTGTTGCAACCCATGGATTGGATTTTTTTTTTTTACTCCAGTTCTCTCAGCTTGAGAAATGATAAGTATGTTCCTCCCCTATGTTTTGTTTTGTTTTTTACTCCCAAGTTTTTTGCTCAATACATTGTAATACTTGACTTCATTTTCTTGAGCTACCCTTTGAAATTTTCTGCTCAACTCTTTTACTTCATTTCTTCCAGTTGTTTTAGTTTCTCTAAAATGAGTTTCTCTAAAAACAATTCAGAGGCTCTTTTGATACACATTGGTCTTTTCTCTCTTGCCTTTTTAATGACCTTTTGCTTTCTTCGTGAATGGTTTTCTTGAGTTGTCATTCCACAGCTCCTCTGGTTTTCTGTCATTAACGTCTAGTGCATCAAATGTTTTCTTGAGCTGGCCTCTAAATTCAAGTGGGTTATATTTTAACTCTTGTGGACTTGTTTTAATTTTCTTTGGCTTCAGCCTGAACTTGCATATGAGCAATTGATGGTCTGTTCCACAGTCTGCCTCTGGCCTTGTTTTGGCTGATGGTATGGAGCTTTTCCACTGTCTCTTCCCCACATGTAATCAGTTTGGCATGTGTATTCCATCTGTTGAGGTTCCTGTTGTTTAAAAAAAAAAAAGGTATTTGCAATGAAGAAGTCATTGGTCTTGCAAAATTCTATCATGCACTCTCCAGCCTCATTTCTATCACCAAGGTCTTGTTTTCCAACTACTGATCCTACCTCTTTGTTCCCACCCTTCACATTCCAGTCACCAGTAATTATCAGCACATCTTGATTGCATATTTGATCAATTTCAAACTGAAGATGTAGAGTTCTCAATTTCTTCATCAATAGCTTTAGAGGTTGGTGCATATATTTGAATAGTAGTGCTACTAACCAGTCTTCCTTCTAGGTGTCTGGATATGATCTGATCACTGACAGCATTGTACTTCAAGATAGATCTTGAAATGCTCTTTTTCATGATGAATGTGACACCATTCCTCTTCAATTTGTCCCTCTTGGCAGAGTAAACCATCTGATTGATTGAAAATGACCAATGCTAGTCAATTTCAGCTCAACCAGTGCCTAGGATACAGATCTTTATGGATTCCATTTCCTTTTTGACAACTTCTAATTTTCCTAGAATCACAATTTGTACATTCCATCTTCTGAGTACTAAAGATTGTTTGTAGCTGCTTTCTTCTTGTTTTGCCGTTGTGCCCCAACAATAAGTGAAGGTCTTGAAAGCTTTACTCCATTTGTATCATCATGGTCAGCTCCTTTGATGAGGCAGCTCTTCCCCTACTGGGTATTTTGAGTGCCTTCCAACCTAAGGGGCTCATCTTCCCGCAATCTATCTGACAATGTTCTGTTGCTATTCACAAGGTTTTCACTGGCTAAACATTCAGAAGCAGTCTGCTGCTGCTGCTTCCTAGTCTGGAAAGTCAGGTGAAACCTGTCCACCAAGGGTGACTTTTCTTAGGTATTTAACCTACTGGTGGCATGTTGTCATTGTTGTTAGTGCCATCAGGTCGGTTCTGTCTCAGTGATCCTGTGTTGGGTTTCCGAGGAGCAGCTGGTGGATTTGAACTGCTGACCTTGTGGTTTAAAGTCCAGTGCTGATCCTACAGTGCCACACCAATGGCATAACTTCTAGCATCACAGCAACATGCAAACCACCACAGTACGACAAAGTGATGGACAAGCATGCGTGTTGTTGGTAAGTGCCTTTGAGTCTGAACATGCTTAGAGGTTAGGATTTACAACACATGTTTTAGGGAACAATTCGGTCCATACTGGGTAGTGGCTGGCATCAGAATACACGTTTTTGTCCATCGTCTTTTCAGTCTGTGACATTTTCTATTTTAATTAAGTCCCACTTCCATTTTTTTTTTCATGGATCGTACTTCTGGTGGTATATAAACAAACTCATAGTCACATTTACGATCATCTGGGTTTTCTCCTATGTTACCTTCTAAAAGTTATAGTGCATGCTTGTTACGTTTAAGTCTAAGTTCATTTTTGTGAAAGGTGTAAGATTAGTCTCTAGA